TGTGTGTGTGTGTGTGTGTGTGTGATGAGTAGACTCAGCTGGCTGAGATGGAACAGTCACACAGTTTCTGTGAGAGTTTGGGGAGGCAGCATGAAGAGGCCCAGAGGGAGGCAGAGAGACTGAGGACGAGCTTCAGGGACATCGAGCGAACTCTGGGCACCAGAGAGCGAGCTCACCGACACCGAGTCAAAGGCCTGGAAGAGCAGGTACCCACACAGGCCCAGATCTCAAGGGTTTGAAGTTTGACACTTCTCATTCCCTGCTTCAATACATGATCACATTTACATGATCAGAGTCATACTTTGCTTAATATATTTAGTTTTTAAGTAAGTCCAACGGCTGATGGACCACATATAATCTAGACTCTATATAAAGATGGTCGATTCCTCACATACAGCACTTTGTAAAATAGTTTTAAATCATGTAAATAATGACAACATACTGAACTACAATGGCACTCAGTAGAGCGCATACCTCAACAGTCCCATTAAATTGAATCAAGCTGCAACAAATTACACACACCCATAGATATTAGTAAAGATTGCTAAAGATTCCTGATATATTTTTTCCATCAAGACCCATGTATCATTCCATGTGGAAATCAGTAAAAACATTTCCACCACAATCACACAGAAAGGTCCTAATTCCTCTGTTATCTGCAGCCACCTAAGGGAAAACCTTGTTTCTTGCTAAATGATGGATTAGAGATGTAAAATGTGTGTTTTATCGCCCACTGTTTCTCCTGCAGGTCTCCACCTTGAAGGAGCAGCTGCAGCAGGAGATGAAACGGCGACAACCTTCTCTTACTTCGTCCTTACCATCGACTGTAAACTGAGATTCAGCTTAAACCCAGAATCACCAGCCGTCCAGGGAAAATCTACACATCATGAGTCTAAATGCAATATTCACCCATAGAAACAGACAAAGTGTTCTCGTCTTCTAACTCTAGTGTTAAAAAAATGTTTGTTTAACTGTGTGACTCTGAAATGAAGACTAGTCTTATTTTGATGGTGTTTTCTTACATAAAAAACACTAAACTCAAACTGTAGCACTGCAGCAGACGACAGGCGAGGGAGTGATGGGATTCATTCAGCTGTGCTTAAAATGCCAGCAGCCTGCTGATTACTGGCAACCATCTACATTTGATCCTTGCTCGACATCTTGCCAAAAACGTCCTGCTCTTACTCAAGACGAAAGAAACCCGAATCACTGCAGGATTCTCCTCCAGACACAATCTGGATGTGGTGCAGGACAGAAACTCTGCCAGTTTGGCCTCCGTTCCTCCACATATTAGCAGTGGAGAACAAAGGAGGAAGGAAGAAAGGTCTTCACTGTGGACGAGTGTCAGGAAACTAAAGAATTGACTATAATGAAGTAACTGCACTGTATTTTTTCTTAGAAACAGACACAGATTTTACTGATTATATGAATAGAGTCTATTTTATCACTGAGAAATGGGCCAGAAGCAGTGAAGTGCTGCAGTGGGAGGGTTGACTGACTGTAGGTGTGTTTCTATTAGTTATTACTAGTTTTATTAAGTGTACATTCTTTTATTTTTACCAACTGTATGTAGGACACTGATGATTAAATAGATGTGACTTGTATGGACAGTATTCATAGATGCCACATGTTTAAGAGAATAAACTCACTGTGTGCATCATTCTTGTCTTTCAGAAATACTAGAGTATGTGTGTAAGGAGTATTTTTGGCCACTTAAAAAAAAAAAAGGACGATATCAAGAATAGAGTCTTAATGTTACAAAAATAATGTCTTAATCTTTGGTTACATGTTATTTCAGAGGGGGGATATCAGAAGATCAGCCTCTGGCCTGTTTTAAAGGGTTAGGGTTAAATGAACTGTTCTGTTCTTTTATATGGCCCCAATGCTCCAACGTACGATATAGATATTTGGGAGTAAAACATTTACCGATACCGATATGTCGTCCAATATATATATAATTATTATTATTTTAAATGATGTGATATGTCTTTGAAAGGCTCATATTGCAGACAAATCACATTGGACACAATCACACACTGAACAGTTGTAGTAAAAAAAAAAGTTTAATTTTTTTCTCAGTCTTTATAGTGACAGTTTTACAAAGCAGTAGTACAGAGGCCGCTTGTGAGATGCCTTTTCAGAGCACTTGTTGCCACTGGAATATAATTATATATATTTTTCGCTTACAGCTTGGTTGCTAAGCTCAGATCCACGTGGCAGAAGTGCAAAAACTGAGGTCACTCACCACCTGTCTCTTCACACATCTCACGACTCTTAACCGTGAGACTGCTGACGGCTGGATACTGATTAGTGTTTCTCTGATGTCAGTGCACAGTGGCCACCGCTGATGAGCTGGTCATCTTGACAATGACTGCTTCTCAACACAAGTACAGTTACATATCAACAAACACAAAGCATGAGATTAATGTGATACAATATGGCAAAAAATAGAAAAAAAAAGATGTTCTGCAGTTTTATGTGCATCTCTAAAGGTTAACTCTTTATAGCACCAGTGTGATGTTTTATAGCACCAGTGATTAGTACTGTCATCAATGTCTTTTGGAGTATATTTAACCATACACACAGGCTCTACTGGGTAGACATAAATGTGGAGAAATACAGAGAAATAGAGGAAAAGATTTGTATAGAAGAGTCAGAGGGAGAAGTGAGGAAGAGGAGGAAGAAGCAAGGAGGAGGACAAGTCAGAGGATGTGGACGAGTTGAAGACAAGCGGCAGTATCTGGGCAGGTGGTATGTCCCTGTTCTCAGTACTCCATCAGCAGCCACCGCAGCTCTTTCCACAGGTTCCTCCTAGTGATGCACACTGTCCGCTCAGCGCTGCCACGCCACAGCGAGAGAACTGGTCACGACACAGGTCCGCTGCAGGCAGACGCAGAGGAGTCAAGAGTTAACATAACAAGACTCTGGACCAACACACAAACAAGAGATACACACAAAACAACCCACCTCTGAGCAGCTCTTCATGTGCACACACAGTCCTCACGCAGACCTCCTTGTTGATGACGTACACTCGTCTCAAACTGAATGAAAACACATGGTTATTCCTGTTATACACATACAGGGTCTTTAAATACAGTTCAAATGGAACACTGGAGAATCAGGGATGTTAAAGGAGCAGTTCCCCCTGAAATGTCATCTTCACATAAATCAAAGCCCTGCCTATAAGAGGAATATCTGGTGCCGCTTGATAAATGTTTTACTGTTGACAAATCTCATGAAAATATAAACCTCCAATGTCATCCACGAACTCTTGAACATGGACCAATGAACCACAGTGTTGCATTCAGTGACATGTTTCTTCATCATAATAAACTATGATTTATTTTCAGTTGATAGCGCACACACAGCTTACTGCTGTGTCTGTTTACCGTTTATTGGAGAGAGGGTGGGGGGGGGGTTGTTTGTTGACTACTTTGCTATTTTCTTTCAATCACTGTTATTGTTTTAATTTACAAGTTTGTGCATCTCACAATAAGCTGACCATCATTTTCTTTAAAGAGTTAAAAGCATTGTTCTCAGTCATTCAAACTATTGAGGCCCGACCTCAGACTCTCAGCGAATCTTTGTTTCCTGAAGTTGCTACAGTCCCTATAAATACTTCATTTATTTCTTTTGGAGGTAAGGTTTGTGAAGAAGCTGCATTACCAGATACCTAAGATTCTTTAAAAATCTAACTATGCATGATGAAACTATACATGTGTGTTTGTGACCTGATTTTAAAGACTCACACCATCAGTATTGTAATTGCTGTTTTGTCTGTTTGCAGGATTACACTGAAACTACTGAACCGAACTGAATGCAAATGAGTGGGATGGGGGGAAGAACCTGTAAACTTTTGGAGCTGATTTAATTACGGAGGCGGATCCAGGGTTGTTGTTTTTTTTTTTTGCAAGACGGGAGTTTTTCAAACTCTTTGTGAATTCCTGGAGAAATAATTAATGGATCTTGATGAAAAAGAGGACTGATATCTATGAGTGTGTGTAATTTGGTGCGACTTGAATTAATTTAACTGGTTATGTAACATGAGTGCTAGGTTTTGTTCTCTGTGTACGCATACAACACAAACAACTTGTTCACATAAAAAAAGTATTCATTTGCTTTGACATCAGGATGAAAACTTGAAATGACAAGAATACACAACTTAAATACATCAACTGTGCCGTTCTAGTTAACTCCACCTGTCTGTCTGTTAGTTAGCAGGATAACACATTTGACATTTTCCCAGATTTCCCAGAGAATAATTCATGAAATATTGATATTAAAAGTCAGGCATGTTCACAGGACTGATATATATGTGTGTGTGTGTGCAATTAGGTTTAACTTGGTTGAATTGAAGGGGACTGGTGGGCCTTGGTGAGGGTATGCGCTCTGATGACTGGCAGTCTAGTGACCTCAGTATTTATCTTGCTAGTAATAGTTGCCCTGGAATAGACCAACACATGTATTGTCCATGAAGAAATTATACCAGAAAAATGAAATAAATATTGGACGTACATTTGCATTGTCTGAAGATCTGACAGAAACTTGTATTGTTGGAGCAGTGACAATAGTTTGGTTTGGGGGAAGAATGTGCAGTGACTCACAGTGTTTGTTTGTCCTACAAACATTTGAGACGTTTTGACTCAGACAGAATGGCTGAATGTTTATTTGGGGCAAACTGCTCGTACAAAAGGCTGAAAAACAAATGCATACCTGTAGAAGCAGAGGCTGTTGAGGCACTGCTTGCATGGCTTGTGAACAGAGTAGAGTCGGGTGCAGGGATACTGCTCCTCTCTGCAATCTGGAAATCAGATACAGAGAAAAAATGATTGATCCACTCAAAGTAAACAACTGATGATCTGTCCTCGTTTCTGCAGCGTTCTTACCAAGAGGGCCTGGCTCCGTGGGCTCCGTCTCAAACTCAGAGCCTGACGTTCACATAAAAACATTTAATTTAAAATGAGTCGCTGACAGCCTTTTTAAACATACTGACGTGATGGGAAATTGTGACTCTGACGGGAGAGTTTAACACATGTACCTGGTTTTTCTGGACGAACCACAGGCTCCAGTCTGACCTGCTGCTGGTAGGTTCCAGGAAGAGAGTCTGAATTTTCAGAATCTGGACCCCCTGAAACAAAAGTGGAGCGATCTCTTTTAACCAAGAAATTAACATTTATGTAAAATCTAAAGCCCTAAAGAGAACATTTCTATGAGCCTAAAATTTTTTTTACCTGGAATATAATCTGGCCCATAGTCCTCTGTGAAGCCGTGACATAAGCAGGGGAGAAGAATGTTTCATGAGATCAACACTGTGAAACCAATTACCATCACTACCCCCTCAATTCCCCCTCAAATACACAAACACACACAAGAAAGCGCCGCTCCAGATAAAATGAACCACCTGCACGCCAAAGCTGGAGAAGAGAACGAGCCGCTTGTGGGGTCTGAATCCATGACTTCATATGCAAGAGGTTTACAAACAATAGCAGACAGAGCGGTTAGAGAGCTGATTACACTGTGAAAACGGTTGCTATGCTGGTAGTAAATAACAACAAGAGGAGAGAGAGAGAGAGGGGGAGAGGGAGAGAGAGAGAGCTCCTCAAGGCTAAGTGACATATCAGAGGACAGGGAGAGATCAGGACCAGATGTGGAGAGCTCTTGATATAAACCGATGCTGAGCTGGAACAATCCAGGCCCATATTCTCTTAATGAACTCACCCAAAAAAGAAAATGGTTCCTGGTACTGAGCCTGGGCGAGCAGCAGAACTGTTGAGGTTTCAGACAAATACAGTCATCACAAAAATGAAGCAATAAGTGAAATGCAAGTGTACAAAGTCGGTGATTACGAGTACTCTGGATACTGTAACTGAGAAACACTGTTTCACTGCATTACTACTTTACTTTGGGTTTCAAAATCTCAGTTTCTGAATTTGAATCATTGCAGTCAAGTCCTTTTAAGGTAAAAACTACAATAAGTAAAAGGTCTGTATTTACATAGTTTTTCTAGACAACCACTCAAAGCTCTTCACAGTACAGTTTTACCATCCACCCATTCACACATTCATACAGTACATGTATGTGCAGGACTTTTCTCTATCATAGATCATACATACACTGCCGGCACAGATGTCAGGGGCAACTCGGGGTTTAGCATCTTGCCCAAGGACACTTTGGCATGCAGAATTGGGATCGAACCTTAGACCCTCCAGTTAGTTACTGTTACACGACTTCACAGTCTTTAGCATTGTCCTGTCACGTCCACAGTGAGTGAAAGTGACACAAAGTCACTTCAGTCCTTCAGAGGAGACATGTTTTGTTCAGATTTAGGTTCATTGTTTTAGTTAGAAAAGGTTGACATGCTCTTATGTTATAAAATCATTTTCTTTACACTGTCCATTGCTGCAGCTCCTCTTTCAGTCTCTGTCTGAAACGCTTGGTTTTAGCTTGTGTCTTTAGGACCCCCCCCTCCTGGCAAAGCCGTCTGTTCTGATTGGCCCACTCTGATGTAATTGGACAACTGCTTCCAGCTCGTGTAGGAAATATCGCCTCGGCTGTCGCTTTTCCATGCTTTGTTAGGGGGCGTGCCAGACTAGCCAGTAGACATGCTTTGTACAAGTGTGGGAGCATCATGAATACGATATCTT